CCATCTCCCAAGTAGCTGGGACCACAGGTGCCCGCCACAATGCCTGGCTATTTTTTGGTTGCAGCCATCATTGTTGTTTGGCGGGCCCTGGCTGGATTCGAACCCGCCACCTTAGGTATATGTGGCTGGCCCCTTAGCCACTTGAGCCATAGGTGCTGAGCCTGTTTGTTTTTTGAGAAAGGTCTCACTTTGTTGCCAGGGCTAGAGTGCAGTGGCATCATCATAGCTCGCTGCAACATCAAACTCCTGGGTTCAAGCAGTCCTCTTGCCTCAGCCCTCTAAGTACCTGGGACTACAGTTGAGGTTTGGTTTTATTAAAAAAGAGAAACATTCCATCAGTTATTAAAAGTGGTCCTCTCGGGCGGCACCTGTGGCTCAGAGGAGTAAAGCACCGGCCCTATATGCCGGAGGTGACGGGTTCAAACCCAGCCCCACCCAAAAACAGCAAAAAAAAAAAAAAAGGAGTCCTCTCTGGAAGGCCGAGGTGGGTGGTTGCCTGAGCTCAGGTGTTAGAGACCAACCTAAGCAATACTGTCTCTGGAATGCCACAGGAAGGTGCTAAAGATGTCACTTTGATGACCTAGGTTTGCAATATAAATTTAATAAACAAGGCATATATACTGCCTGGAATTCTTCTGAATTGTCATTTGCATTTCTTGAATAAATACTGTGATATGTTTAAATATTTTGACATTTATTTCTGAAGATTAAGTGTCAAAAGTGTAGCCAATATCTCTGAGCTTGTGTATGTCCTAAGCCAGTTTAGAATAGAGGGGCTTTCCCAAATCTTGTGTTCTCCAGGTCATTTTGTAGTGTTATAGTAAATTTGCTTTGTTTTTTCCTTTAAGTCTTATAAAATGGAATGCTATTCAGCCATAAAAAAGATGGAGATTTTACATCTTTTGTAACAACCTGGACAGATTTGGAGAATATTCTCCTAAGTGAAGAATCACAAGAATGGAAAAATAGGCATCCCACATATTCAGTACCAGTTTGAAACTAGGGATTAATAACTACATATTCACCTGAAAGAAAAAGTAAATTAACAGGGGGGAAGGAGTTGGATAAATTCCCACCCAACAGGCATATTGCAAGGGTAAGTGGCACACTTCCTGGGGGCCAACTACAGCGCGGATTTTCATCACAAAAGCAATTTATGTAACCTAATCGTATGCACCCTTATCTTAACCTTAAATTTTATAAAGAGGATAAATTATTCCACTTAATTTTTGTCAGCTTTTCTTTTGCCTGGAAAAAGTGTTCATTTGCGTCCTTCTAACACGGTGGACAGAAGTGATCTGGCGACCTCGTGAGAAACATCTAAAACAAAAAATGTGAAGCCCTTATCAACAGGATCTGGGATAGAATTCAGGGATGGTGACGTGAGTGATCCCCACATCAAAACACCTACAGTCAGTCGCGTCAGGATAGCGGTTCCCAAATTCCCGTCCAACCACCGGCTTTCCTGAAGACATTTGTTGAAAACACTGATTCCTGGGCCCTGCCTCAACTTACTGACTCAGGAGGTCTCCTGAGGTGGCGCCCGGAAACCTGCATTTTTTAATATTTTCATTCTTATCTTCTGTTCCCCAAAGGTGGTTCACAGGAGGGAAACCCGCATTTTCTAACAAGCTCCGCAGACCGGCTGGGAACCGCGCAAAGCCGGATGGACACGCCCCCCTCTTTGCCAGCCTCGTCCGGGTCTTTCTCCCGCCTTGCTAATGCCCCGCCCCCGCCCCGCCCTCCTCCAAGGCCTTGAGCGGGCTCGCTGGCCACTTCCCGTGATGCCTAGCGCCGGGCTGTCGGGGTTGCCGGGCAACGTACTAGCTCTAGGGCTGGTGGCGTGGGATCCTCTAGGCCATGGGGCCGCGAGGCCTCCCGCCACTCCTGCTGGTGTTCTCTGGCTGCTGCGCCTCCGTGAGCGCCCAGACCTGGGCCACCCCGGCGGTGACGACAGAGCGCCCCAAGTCCACGGAGGCAGCCTCAGCCACTCTCGGACCCTCTCCGTCGGCTAGACCCCCAGTATCTCCCAGGCCCACCCCGGTCACGGACGGTGGGTACCAAGTGTCAACTGCTGGGGATCCACAGTAATCCAACCTGGAGGGGGTAGCCCAAGTGAGGATATAACAGTGACAACTAAGGCTGTAGACAATGTGTGTAGACATTGATGAGTGTTCTGTAGACGTTAATCTCTTAACAATAACTCTGAGAGATAGATACTATCCCTGTCATAGAGATGAAACCAGGGCTCAGAGAGCGTACGGGGGACAGTATCAAATCTTTGAAAGTACTTGAAGTGGTCCTGGACACCATTAATGCTAAACGTAATAAAGAGTCCTTGCAGCCGAAGATAAAACTAAATTGAAAGTTTCTAGACAGTAGGGGGGAAATGAATACATAGGCTGCATTGAACTTTTCACTTATATTAAAAAGATGCCAAAGGTATAGCTTACTAAATGTGACTAGGTCAAGGCTCTTGTCCCTTGACTTGAGTTATGAAAATCCAGGGTTCCTCCAGTATTGAGTTGGATGGAGGTGGGAGGTATGTTGTCAGGGGTTTATGCTCACTTCTCAGAATTCATATTAGGGATAATTAACATACTTCTCAGAAAGTTTTCTTCTTATCCTGGAATTAAACATTTAGTGAATATTATATAATTTGATTTCACATGGATGACTTCAGCAATGGCTGTGAACCCCTGAGATTTGAGTGCAAAATCGTCTGGAGTGAGAAGTCATAGCAGTCAATAGATTATCAAAAGGGTTTGTGATCTCAAGAAAAAATTGTTTTAAATCCTCTGTGTGGATTGAGAGTAACCCCAATAGGTTTTTTTTCCTTAAATCTCTTCTTAAGAGAAAGAATGGTTTTTTTTTCTTAAGTAAAGGCTCACGATTAATAAATAAAAAAGTCATCATTTGCTGACATCCTGAACTCTAGCACTTAACTTCAGGTACTGAACGTTTATTTTCCAAAAGTCCTTCTTCATAAATTATGAGTAGTTCATATTAAAAAGTACAGAGAAATATGCTGGAGACGACTCACACCTGTAATCCTAGCACTCTGGGAGGTTGAGGCAGGTGAATTGCTTGAGCTCAGGAGTTTGAGACCAGACTGAGGAAGAGGGAGACCCAGTCTTTACTAAAGATGGAAAAACTATGCAGGTATGGTGACAGGTTTAGTACCAGCTACTCGGGAGGCTGAGGCAAGAGGATCTCTTGAGCCCAGGAGTGTGTGAGATTGCTGTGAGCTATGATGATGCTACAACATTACCCAGGGTGACAGAGAGACTCTGTCTTTAAAAAAAAAGTATAGATAAGAATATTTGCTATCTTATAGAAATGAAACTGTTTTACATTTAAACTATTGATTTGATGAATTAGTGGGAAAGTTAAATCAGTGATAGATTGGGACAAAATATAGCCAAGTATTCAATGCCTGAAACTCTATAAGGTTTTTGGATGTGTTATCTTTTATCTACCTAAATATTCTATTCCATCCGTTAATGAAGCTATGCTTGAACCATCATTATTAGGGCATGTGGTCAGGGCTGTTTTTTTGAGGATAAGGGATGAATTTTTACATGTACTTGTCTTAATCTTTTTATTTGTTTGTTTGGGACAGGGTTTTGCTCTGTTCCCCAAGCTGTAGTGCAGTGGCACTATCACAACTCATTGCAACCTCCAGCTCTTGGGCTCAGGTGATCCTCCTGTCTCAGCTTTCCAAGTAGCTAGGACTACAGGTGGGCACTACCACTCCAGGCTTGCTTCTTGCTTATTTATTTATTTATATATACACACACGTGTATTTTTTTATACAGTCTTGCTCTGTTGCCCAGGCTAAAGCATAGTGGTATTATCATAGCTTACTGTAGTCTTTATTTCCTGGGTTCAAGTGATCCTTCTGCCTTAGCATCCTGAATAATTGGGACTACAGGTGCTCATCACCATGACTAGCAATTAAAAATATATATATATATATATATAGTGGAGATACTGGTCTCAAACTCCTGACCTCAAGCAATCCTCTTGCTTCAGCCTCCTAAAGAGCTAGGATTACAGGCATTAGCCACTGTGCCCGACTTGTCTCCATGTTTTTAAAGTACCCCTCTTTAGCCATATCACTACTATTAGCTCATTTATTAACTGTTTACTGTGACAGGTACTGTGCTAACCATGTCACCTGTGATGTATCTCATTTAATCTCCACAATAACCCTTCGATGTACATATTGTTATCCCCATTTCCCAGGTAGCTGAATTATTTGCCTAATTCTAGGTCACATGGCTGGTAAGTGTTGGAGCAAGAGGCTGACTCAAAGTGGAGAACTATATGGAAATTTACAGAATGGCTTACAGGCAGTCTTAGTGGGAGAGTGATAACCATTCATCTTGAATCTGAGCTGTGTTCATCAGTACCCTGTTCTATGAGCCAGTCATGCAAATGATAAGAGGCCTATAAGAGCAGCTGAGTGCTACTTAGACTTGGTGAGGACTTGGCAGATACTTGTTGAATGATTAAGTGCACTTACATTCTGGGTGGAGACCATTTTTTCCCTAACTGGAGTTATTAAACATTATTGCTTTGTCCTTAGTAGTCTTATAGCTACCCTCAAGGGTTTTAAGTTTTGAAAACAAAGTCAGATTGTAATTTTAAACACGTAAGACAGGGAGCCTAAAACACTTTTTAGTTTTTACATTAGCATGTATTAGTTGCATCATTATTTTATTAAGTACATAGAGGAGTCCTTGGCTGTAGAGCACAGTAAACTTGAGAGAAATTTTTGTGTCTTAGGCTGAGAAAATTTTGCATACTTATTGACCAAACCTCCCCCCTTCTCCTCACACCCTTTTTTTCAGAGTATGTTATACCTATTATGGGCAATATTTTTCTAACACTCATTTATATTGTGAAATAATACATATATACAAATAAGAGTGTTGTATAGATCTGTCAGCATTTGTCAAAATCTTTTTTGAAAAGACGACATTACAGATAAGATTGAAACCCTGATCTTATTCATTCCCTCCAACGATAACCACTACCATGAATTCAGTGTTTATTATTCCTATCTATGGTCTCCTATTTCTTTCCTCCTTCCTTCTTCCTTTCTTCCTTCCCTTTCTCTCTCCCTCACTTCCTCACTCCCTCTCCCCTTCTCTGCCTCTCTCCCTGGCTTGCCCTGGGTAGAGTGCTATGGCCTCATCATTGCTCACAGCAACCTCAAACTCTTAGTCTTGAGCAATCCTCCTGCCTTAGCCTCCCAAGTAGCTGAAAGATTGAAAACACTCTTTCCTGGAGGCATTAAATGTGCCCTGCCTCTGAATCAGTCTCTAGTGGAGGACTTGGGAATTTGTTATTTTATTTATTTATTTATGACATAGTCTCACTTTGTTGCCCTCGTTAGAATGCCCTGGTGTCATAGCTGCCACAAGTGCCTGCCACAATGCCCAGCTAATTTTACTATTTTTAGTAGAGACAGGGTCACTTGCTCAGGTTGGTCTTGAACTCAGGCAATCCACCTGCCTTGGCCTCCCAGAGTGCAAGGATTATAGTCATGAGCCACCTCATGGTGGCTCCTCTTTCTTTAAAAGGTTTTAATCTGTTTGATAGAATAAAATATGGAATTAAAAATCCAGATAATTTTTATCATTAATAATTTAAAAGTTGCTAAGTGGGGAGATTCCTACTTCTCCCCCAGGCTTTATTGTCTAAATTACCAAAGATAGTCTAAGCACCTGAGCCAATTTGATTCCTAACCAAAAGGTTGTGAATATGAGTTCAGCTTCAAAACTGCAGGCTATATATGAGGAGAGGGACAAGATTGAAAACACTCTTTTCTGGAGGCATTAAATGTGCCCTGCCTCTGAATCAGTCTCTGGTGGCGGACTTGGGAATTTGTAATTTTATTTATTTATTTATTTATTTATGACAGAGTCTCACTTTGTTGGCCTCGCTAGAGTGCCCTGGTGTCATAGCTCACCTCAAACTCTTTGGCTCAGGTGATTCTCTTGCCTCAGCCTCTTGAGTAGGCCGGGACTACAGGCACCTGCCACAATGCACAGCTATTTGGGGAATTTGTAATTTTAAACCAGTGGTTCTTATGGTCAGGCAGGTTCTTATGGTTTAGGTATGCTGGTTCTTTTCTTTCTTTCTTTCTTTGAGACAGAGCCTCAAGCTGTTGCCCTGGGTAGAGTGCCATGGCATCACAGCTCACAGCAACCCAATTCTCTTGTTCAGCTGGGACTACAGGCACCCGCCAAAACACCCAGCTATTTTTTCGTTGTAGTTATCATTGTTGTTTGGCAGGCCCAGGCTGGATTCAAACCTGCCAGCTCTGGTGTATGTGGCTGGTGCCTTAGCTGCTTGAGCTATAGGCACAAGCCAATATGCTGGTTCTTAATTATTATCATCACCTGGAAAGTTTCTGAAAACTACAGATTTCTGGATTTCATTGTCATCTCACCAAATCAGAGTCTTTGTAGATAGAGCACAAACAGAGCTTTCCAAGTACTGTGTTTCCCCCAAAATAAGACCTACCCAAAAAATAAGCCTTAGCAGGATTTCTATGCATTTGTTAAATATAAGCCCTACCCCAATAATAAGACCTAGTGGTGGGCATGGCTATGCAGATGTGATGCTTGTGGCTATACATCCGCATAGCCACGCCCTGCATTTCCACATAGAGAGGAAGACATCCTCTGAAAATCAGCCCTAGTGTGTCTTCTTGAGAAAAAAGAAATATAGGACAGTGTCTTATTTTCAGGGAAACACAGTAGGTCAGATGATTAACCATTTTGAGGAAATCTCTGTAGAATACTCAGACTGACTCATTTCCACTTCACAGATTTCTCCCCAAGTGCGATAGGAAAAATAAAATGGACCTTCTGTAAGAGATCTGTGGTGTGTTACAGTGACAGGGGGCAGTCACCACCTGCTGATTGTGATACTCTGGATCCTACCATTTTTATTTCTGTAGTTGCTGCTCTGTGTGTCTGTGACTTGTCCCCAGGACAGTGTGACATCAACTGCTGTTGTGATCCTGACTGCAGCTCTGTGGATTTCAGTGTCTTTTCTACCTGCTCAGTTCCAGTTGTCATGTAAGTTTATGACACATGCAATTTTGATAAAATTTGACCAGAATAATCAAATTTGGGAACAGAAAATGAAAGCCCTCTAGACTGAAAAATCCAAACATGATTTCCTGTATTTTGCATGATTCAGAGGCCATCCATTCCAAACCAATATGTAAATGTGTAGTTATCCCATGTTTGTATCCAGCCAGATGATAATGCAGGCAAACAAGAAGAAAGAATGTGTTTCTTCTAAATAGTATAATGAAATCTGTCAGTGTTTGGAGACTGAATTACATTTCGGTTTGAGTGAAACAGATAACATTTTTTGTATCAGTGAATTCATCTCAGGTGTAGCATAAGGTGAAAAGTCCAGTTTAATTTTGCAGCTTTTGTTGTGGACAGAATACTTATAACAAAAAATTAAAGAGACAGGAAGGCTTTGTATTTTCCTGATACGAAATTCTACCAGGAATTTTCATATTCACATTGTAGTATGTTCTTTAGATCATATTTAGAGTGATCTAGTCTCATAATTCAGATTTCTAAAACTTTTAGAAAAAATTGGCAGCACAGAAAAGATTCATTTTATTCAGAATGGTCCCAATCTGAATATTCAGAGATAGCTAATTTAAATTTAGCCTTATAGCAAGTTTTAGCAACTGACTACTTGATAGGTTGAATCCTTTTTGGAAGTAAATGGGTTTCCCCCTTGAGAAACTATTTTACTGAGCGATGAGGAATTGAATCTGTTTCTAATGTTATGAAAACACTTGGAGAATGGAAGCTCTAGTTAGTTTAATTTTATTGTTACTTAGACTATAGCATGATTCAGTCTTTGTTGAAAATTATTCTGCTTTCTTGCCTTAATAAGTCCAGAAGCCTAAGAATTAGGTTTTTCCTTCGGCCTGAGACTATTTTTTAGAATGTTATTTGTTTTTTATTAGCCAATGCAGTAATTTTAGATATAGCTTATTTAGGATCAGGGTCAGCAAACTTTTTCTGTATAGAGTCAGATAGTAAACATTTTAAGTTCCATAGGCCATATAGGTTCTGTTTAACTTCTCAGCTGTACCATTGTTCAGCAAAAGTAACCATAGAATATGTAAGTGAGTGAGCTTGGCTATATGTTCCAATAAAATTTTATTTACAAAATCAGGTGAGGTTTGCAAACCCTGAATTTAGAAGTTAGGGCTGAATCCGTAGTACCCTCAGGAAAGGACTTCATATTTTTGAGTTAAGTTTTTGAGTTTTCTTGATTGACATTTTTCCTAAATATGAAGTATAGAAATAACCAAATCTAAAGTCATACTTCACAGCCTGAGCAAGAGTGAGACCTCGTCTCTACTAAAAATAGGAAAATTAACCAGGCACAGTGGCTTATGCCTATAATCCCAGCACTTGGGAGGCTGAGACAGGTGGATTGCCTGAGCTCACAGGTTCAAGACCAGCCTGAGCAAGAGCAAGACCCCATTCCTAAAAATATAACCAGGCATTGTGGTGGGTGCCTGTAGTCCCAGCTACTTGGGAGGCTGAGGCAAGAGAATCACATAAGCCCAGGAGTTTGAGGTTGCTGTAAGCTATGATGCCATGACACTCTACTGAGGGTGACAAAGTGAGACTCTATCTCCAAAAAAAAAAAAAAAAAAAGAAAGAAAGAAAAATTAGCTGGGCATTGTGGTACATGCTTGTAGTCCTAGCTATGTGGGAGGTTGCGGTGAAAGGATCCCGTGAACCCACAAGGTTGAGGTTACAGTAAGCTACAGTGATACCACTGTACTCTACCCAGGGTGACAGAGACTCTGTCTCAAAAAATAAAAAAAGAAAAAAGTGATAATCTTAGTTAATTGAGCTTTCTTGTTATATAGGTTCCAATTCATAAACAGTTTGTTTCATTTGTTAAGCTAGCAACTAATTGTTACCTGCTATCTTAAATTCATCGGTAAGCTTATTGAATTGATGTTTCTTTTCTCTATTAAATGGAAGCTTCATGAATGAAAGAGCCTAGCACTGCTCTTGACACATAGTTGACATTTATTAGAAAACAAGTTGAATGGATGAATGAATTTCTCCTCTTTACCCCTAAATGATTTTCTGTGTCCCTTTTGACTTCCTTACCATCAGCTTTGCAAACAGAAATCAGGCTAGAAACCTGGAGGCTTCTAACTCCTGCTTCTCCCTTGCCTTCTCTCTTGTCTTAGCAGTCTTTCACTCCTGATCACACCTTTCTTGAGCACCTCCTGTAAGCCAGCACCAGGGTTATAAAGATGAGTTAGACACACTCCTGCCTTCAGAGAGCTTACTGTTGAGTAAGGGAGACCGATGAGTGAATGACACTTTCTACACCAAGCACTGGGAGAACTCATACAGCTTCATGAGGGTAACCTTTCCAGAAAAGATAAACTGAGCTGAGCTGAACTGGGTCCTGAAGGATAAATGGAATTTGGCCAGCATGGAATCAGGGAAGGGCATTCCTGTCTGGGACAGACATGTGAGCAGAGTCCTGGGGGCAGGGGTTGGTGGGGAAGAGTAAAGGTATGACCTGTTGTCATACCCCTGTTGCTTAACTGAGTGGGTAACTCAGTGTGGCTAGAGAGTAGGGGTGAGAGGAGTGGGGTGCGAGGGGTGGAGAGGAGGGGCGTTGGGTGCATGCTAGAGCTTTGGACTATGTCCTGCAGTCTGCAATGGGCAGGGTAGTGAGAGGATCAGATTTCTGTGTTAGGGAATTCTGCAGCAGCGTTAATGATGTGTCATAAAGACCAAGCCTGATAGAGAGAACCAAGTAAGAAGCTATTGAAAAGGAGGAGTAATGGTTATCCTACCCTCCTCAAAAGACAGGATGGTAGGGCTCGGCGCCTATAGCTCAACCTTCTAAGGCGCCAGCCACGTACACCTAAGGTGGCGGGTTAGAATCCCCAGCCCGGACCGCCAAACAACAATGATGGCTGCAACCAAAAAAATAGCCGGGCGTTGTGGCGGGCGCCTGTGGTCCCAGCTACTTGGGAGGCTGAGGCAGGAGACTCGCTTGAGCCCAGGAGTTGGAGGTTGCTGTGAGCTGTAATGCCATGGCACTCTGCCCAGGGGGACAGCTTGAGGCTCTGTCTCAAAAAAAAAAAAAAAAAAAAAAAAGACAGGATGGTAGAACTGGAGAGAAATATCCATATCTGCTACTGATACTGATATACTGCACAGGATTAGGGAGCTGGCTGCCTGGAGGGGAAAAAGGGGTCCCATTCTGAGTTTCTCTCACTATAGCTCTCCTGTTTGCCTATCACTACTCCATTCCACTGTGTAAGCTCACACTTCCTCTTATCGTTTACTTGCTGAAAAATCTTGAGAAGGTCTCATTACCTACAGACTCTTGAGCCTCAATTCGGATGCATTCCAAACTTCTTTCAGAACCTATTTCCTACTAACCTCCATCTCAAATCTTCTACTCCAGCCCAACGTTGGTATTCAGAGATTCCCAAAAACCATCAATTTATTTATTCCCATCCTTGGCCAATCCTATTCTTGCACTTGGATTAGCTGGCCTCCCATTCCCTTTGTTTGATTCCTGTGCATTCCTTAAGGCCCAATAAAAACTGAATGATAACATCCAATCTTGGCAAGAGTACATGGGAAATAGCTTTTTTTTGAGACAGAGTCTCACTATGTTGCCCTTGGTAGAATGCCCTGAGTGTCATAGCTCACAGCAACCTCCTACTCCTGGGCTCAAGCGATTCTCTTGCCTCAGCCTCCTGAGTAGCTGGAACTACAGGCACCTGCCACAATGCCTGGCTAGTTTTTAGAGACAGGATCTTGGTCTTGCTCAGGCTGGTCTTAAACTCCTGACCTCCAATAAGGAAGGAGTCTTACTGTGTTGCCTCAAGCTCCTGGGCTCAAGTGATCCTTTTATCCTTAGCCTCTCAAGTAGCTGGGACTGCAGGCATGTGCCACTGTGCGTGGCTCAAATGCCAAACATTTTAACACCGAATAAACTGAGAAAAAGAAATGGATTCATTTCTAGCATTATACTTTCATAACTCTCCTCCATGTAGCTGTTAACAGGGTACAGTGCATGAACATCTGACAATTTTAAAATAATCTTGCTAAGATTGTATGCTTATGCCTTATGAGTTTGTGTTACTATTTTTGTAATTTTCAGGAGCAATAACCAGTTTTGTAGTCAAAAAGCAGCCATCTATTCAATGAATTTTACAGCAAATCCACCTCAAAGGGTATTTAAACTTGTCGACCAGATCAACCCATCTATTTTCTGCATTCATATTACAAACTGTAAGTATTCAACATAGGTATATTTTGTGAAAATCTAGAAAATTTGTGTTTTAAAATTATTTTATGGAAAACATTCAGTTAGATTTTGAACAAATATTTTGTCTCTATGTATAATGTATATCTTCTGAGATCGTTTCAACAGGTAGCTAATTAATTGTAAGGTACTTTATAGACCTGTAGGTGTGTACATTTTCTTTAAAAGTAATTGTGCTTGTGTAGTTGTCTTTTAAAACCTTTATAGTTAATTTCAGAGGAGTTTACAATTTCAGAGGTATTTGTAATATGTAGACATACATAGAATTTATAATTGTTTTCTACATATGCATTTTGTTTTTTTACTTTCTTTCCTCCAGGCTTAATGGTTGAAAATCAGGTTGTATAATGAGTATGCCCACTAAGAGATAAAGAAGAGAAATGTAGTTAAAATTAAAAAAAAAAAAAAAAGAAAATCAAGTTCTGCTTTGCACATTACCTGTGGTTTCTATTTCCTTTTTCTCTTTTATTTTTACTAAGAATATTTGCATGAAAACAGGATCTTATTTTTATATGAGTATTAAACTCAAGTAAGTGTCTACATCCAAAGAACGTGAGTGTAAAATGTTACCGAGATACCAAATATTAGTGATACTTTTATGGTTTTATTAATTAAACTTCATCATCTTTTCAGAATATATTTAAAAGTTTTGGTTTTGTTCCCTTATGATTGAAAATTTACATGAATGCTCTGCCCAATTTGTAATCAGAAGTGAGACTGGCTAGCAACTGTCACATTCTCTGCCATAACTGAGCCAAATGTATAAACTAGCCTGCTCTCTTCCCCCCTTTCTCTCTTGTACCCAGCACATTTTTCTCCAGGGCTTTCAAGGTGGCTGTGTGAGAGTAGAAATAGGCTTCTTTCATTCCCATAGCCATCTGGAGAGAGCGTCCCCTTACAGATTGATGGAGCAGACTCATCAGTCCTTCGATTATACTATTATTGGCTTCTGTTGTACTATTCACTTGCAGGCACTAGAAACTATTACTTCCCCCACTGTTAGAGAGGCAAGCTGAAGGTAGGGATCCTGTTTATTTAACAAGCTTCAAGAAGTGCTGGAAGAAGTGAATATGGAAAAAGACACTTTATTGTTTCCATATCAGCCTTAATGCTACCAAAAGCTGTTTCCAAAATATTATGTCATATACACTATATATTTTATGCTGATTTTAAATATTTTTTCTGAAAACAGATAAATCTGCATTATCATTTATTAATCCAGAAGTACCTGATGAAAACAGTTTTGACAAGTTGATGAAAACATCTGATGGTTTTACATTGAATACTGAATCAGATGTTTCCTTCACAACCAAATTGGATGCTCCAAATACTGCTAAATATGAGGTGAGCCAAGAATTTTTTTTTTTTTTTTTAGACAGAGCCTCAAGCTATCCCCCTGGGTAGAGTGCCATGGCATCACAGCTCACAGCAACCTCCAACTCCTGGGCTCAAGTGAGTCTCCTGCCTCAGCCTCCCAAGTAGCTGGGACTACAGGCCCCCGCCATAACACCCGGACATTTTTTTCTTTTTTTTTGTTGCAGCCATCATTGTTGTTTGGCGGGCCCGGGCTGGGGATTCGAACCTGCCACCTTAGGTGTATGTGGCTGGTGCCTTAGCCACTTGAGCCACAGGCGCCGAGCCATGAGCCAAGAATTTTGATTGAGTCTGCTCTTCTTGACATGCATATTCTGTCCTTGTAAGTTAATTTTCGGTATATTACCAGCCAAACTGGCTTCCCTGAGACATAGAATTGATACTACAGACTAAAAAATTTAATGTTGGCCAGGACTTGCAGCTCACACCTGTAATCCTAGCCCTTTGGAAGGCCAAGGTGGGAGGATTGCTTGAGGCCAAAAGTTCAAGACCAGTCTGGGTAATATAGAGGGACTCTGTCTCTATATAAAATTTTTAAAAATTAGCCTGGTGAGGTGGTATGTGCCTGTAGTCCCAGATCCTCTGGCAGGAGGATCACTTGAGCCCAGGAGTTTAAGGTTGCAGTGAGCATGTTCATGCCCACAAATCAAAGATCATGAAGATTAAAATGAATATTTGAATTTTGAATATAAAATTTAATGTTGTTTATTCTGTGGTAAGCTTGCATTTTTCTCTGCAGAATTCTTTGCTCTTCTCAGCCTTAAGAGATGCAGAGAAATAAGCTTGAGTTATGCTGCAGGGAGGGAACATGGAGTAGATTGGTTGCATGCTTTTCCCTCCTTAAATTGCTTATAGACTTTGGAAGATGTGTGCTGCTGTTCTGTATCTATTCGTTAGTATACCTTTAAATGTGTGTAATTTTGAATATACTTTAACTTTTGGGGGAACATCTTTTCTTTTTTCTTTTTTTGAGCTAGGTCTTGTTCTGTTACACAGTCTGGAGTTCAGTGGCATGATCATAGCTCACTGCAGCTTTTGAACTCTTGGGCTTAAGCAATCCTCTTGCCTCAGCCTGTCAAATAGCTGGGACAATAGGTGCATTCCACCACACCCACCCAATTTTTCTATATTTTGTAGAGACAGAGTACAGTCTTGCTATGTTGCTTGGACTAGTCTCAAACTTCTGGGCTCAACTGATCCTTTCACCTTGACCTCCCACAGTGCTAGGATTACAGGCATGAGCCACCATGACCACCCTGGAAGCATCTTTTTAAAAAAAAAGTATGAAAGAAAGATGTACCTTTTTTTTGAGATGGAGTCTCACTCTGTCACCTTGGGTAGAGTGCTAGATTACAGCAACCTCAAACTTTTGGGCTCAAGTGATCCTTTTGCCTCAGCCTCCGAGTAGCTGGGACTAGAGGCATGTGCCACAATGCTCAGCTAGTTTTTCTATTTTTAGTAGAGACGGATCTCGCTCTTGCTCAGGCTAGTCTGAAGCTCCTGAGCTCAGGCAATCCCATCCACTTCAGTCTCCCAGAGTGCTAGGATTATAGGCATGCGCCACCTTGCCCAGGTAGCAACATGTATTAGTTCTAAGGATTAAAATTATAAATGTATAGAAGTAAAAATTGAAGGCCTCTTGTGTCCATTAAGATTCATACTGCAAATCATTGTGAAAAGAATGGTGTGTATTCTTCCTGACTATTAAATACATCTATTAAAATGTACATATAAATTTGTATAGAATTAGGATTTATAGTTAACCACATTATTCTAGAAAATATCTTTTTCAGTGATAAATATTATGCATCTTGCTGTGTCACTATAAAAATTACCATTTATTATTTTTCTATATGTCAGGTGTTACTCACATACCCTGGGAGGGACCCATCATTGTTCCCATTTGTCTGATAAGACAGACTTAAGCACAGGAACTTGTCAGAACTAGGGTTAGAGCTACATTTTAGGAAGTATTCCTTGCTATGTATGAGCTTTTCCACTCTTAGTAGACATTTTTTTTTTTTTTTTTTTTTGAGACAGAGCCTCAAGCTGTTGTCTTGGGTAGAGTGCTGTAGCATCACAGCTCACAGCAACCTTCAACTCCTGGGCTCAAGCAATTCTTCTGACTCCTCCTTCCAAGTAGCTGGGACTACAGGTGCCAGCCACAATGCCCAGCTATTTTTTGGTTGCAGCCATCATTGCTATTTGGTGGGCCCAGGCTGGATTTGAACCCGCCAGCTCAGGTGTATGTGGCTGGTGCCTTAGCCACTTGAGCCACAGGCGCCAAGGCACTCTCAGCAGACATTTTTTTCCAGTTTTGCTATTACAAATCTACAATGAACATTATTACATAGACATGTATCTTTGAATACTTGTATGATTAAATCCATAGAATGTGTCTCTATAAATGGGTTAGCTTGGTCAAAATGAATGGAAATTTTAAATGCTGATAAGATATTGCCATCCAGAAAGATTGTGGTCATTTATACTCATCGCTCCAGTGAACAAAAGGACTTGTTTTCCCATACTTTGAGACCAAGACATTGTAATTTGAATAAACTTTCAAATTCAAGAAAATTAGCTCTATGCCCAGTAGCCGCAAATTTGGATTTTGAAAATTGGGGAAGAATTTTATAGGACTTGAATTGGGGAAAGAAGGCATTCTTTCATAAAAATTAGTCATAAAACATTGATTTTTATAATTCAATGTATATTTTATGTGTTCTTCAAATAGTGAATGCTACTAGAAAATAATTCTCTCACCCCTGTGTCTAGCCACCCAGTTCCTATCTATAGAGGGAAATCCTTATGTCAACTTCTTATATACCCTTCCAGAGAAATTCTGTAATTAAAAAGCGTACAAGTACAGTAAATTGCATGCACAGAAACATACCTCCTTTAGAAAAGGATGAGGTAGCTTGATGTAAGTTCCATGTTGACAAGGACCACATCTGTTTTTTGCTCATCACTATGTCACTGATGCCTACAGTGCTGCTTGGCACGTAGTAGGTGCATAGTAAGTGTTGAATGAATGCCTTAATAACACCATCATGATTATTGGTGGTTGTATTTGCAGTATGGGGCTCCTGTGCAGACTTCAGATTCATTTCTGAGATTTCCTTTGCCCCTCTCATCGTCTCTGTGCACTGACCATAACCCTGCAGGTAAGAGATTGGCTGTTCTTTTTTCTGTAAACAGTTTGCTATTATTAATAGTAGTTATTTAGTACTATTAGTAGTAGTATTAATAGTAGTTTTGTAGTAGTTATAATTAAACAGGTTTCATAACTAGAAACAGAATTTGCAAGTTGAAAGAGACCTCAAGTTTATGTAGTTTCATTGCCTACCCAGTTCCAGAGTCTTTCTTATCATATGCAGTAGCTGCTTGAGCACTTGGAATAGTAGGGGACTCTCTATCTAAAAAAAGATGTTGTTTAACACTTCCTATTGTTGCAAAATTCTTAACCTTATCAACAGCTAATATTTAGTAAGTGCTTACTGTGTGCTAGGTATTGGGTTAAGTGCTTGCATGTGTTTTCCATTTAATCCTCACAATGATCTTTTACAGTCAGGTTAGTATCTCTATTTTTTAGATGATGAAACTGAGTGGCATGTAGTTTCTTGCTCAGGCCTAGGCAGGCAGTGGTGGAATGAAAACTGAACCCACACAGTTGGCCTGCAGCCTATGCTTCCTCTACCACCTGGCCTCCCGTGGGTCTTGCTGCTCCACTTAGGAGCCTGTAAACCCCACAGAATGGGGTTTTATATGAAGGGAAGGCAGCAGGCCTGGCTCTCCCACACTTAGGTGAGCCTCACTATCAAAAAGCTTATCAAAGTAATGCATGGCAGGAAAATATATTCCATTGAAAAGACACTTAACCTCACACACAAGGAACAGCGTAAATTAAAACCAAACTGAGACACCATTTTCCTCTGTCAGATTGGCAAAGCTTAAAAAAGTTGAGGCTGTAGGGAAGTAGGCAGTCACCTACATAGCTGGTGGGACTATAGACTGGTATAACCTCTGTGAAGGGCAATTTAGCAATATGTATCAAAATTCCAAATGAATGTGCTGTTCACGCAGCTGTTCTACTTCTGGGAGTTAATCCTACAGAAACTCTGGCTCACGTGAAATAATACATTGCAGCATTGTTGGTAATAGCAAAGACAGAGACAACTTAAGTGTCCATTAATAGGAAACTAGTGGAATAATTATGCAACATTTCTAATAGAATACTAATTATCCTTAAGAAAGGAGGAGGAAGCTCTTCATGTACTGAGACAGGCTGATCTTTGAGATGTTCAGTGAAGAAAAACAAAAAGCAGATAGTGTATATATTATGTATTTGTTTCCAAAAGGAGAAAGAAACAATACATTTTTTTTTGGCATATACACTTGGTTTTATTTGCATAGAACATTTCCAGAATGATATACCAGACACTTCATTTTCATTGTTTCTGAGGAAGGGGACTGGAGGGTAGCTTGGGCAGGGGGAAGAAAGGCGTTAGACCAGTGGTTCTCAACCTTCCTAATGCCACAACCCTTTAATACACTTCCTGTGGGTCTCGACCCACAGGTTGAGAACCACTGCGTTGGAGGGAGACATTGCTCACTTTCTTTTTGTGCCTTTTGAATTTTGAGTCTTGTGAACTTTGCATACCTATTTGAAAATAATTTCAGACCCTATTTAAACACATTACATATTTGTGTTGTAACTTATTTTGTAGTTTTACCTAGGTTATGTTTTTTTTTAGTTGCCAGGGGCAATTGAAAATTTTCATCTGTTGTATTTTTTTTCCTTGGGTATGTTACGATTTCCAGCATTTCTAGTGAACCAGGCTGTTAAGTGCACCAGAGAAATAAATTTAGAAGAGTGTGACCAAATTGAAGCCCTTCGCATGGCTTATTATAGCAGCCCTGAAATTTTGAGGGTAAGAATTATTTTGAAGTGGAACTAATTTGTTAGATATGTTTTCTGTTCTTTGTATCCTTTTAAATATGACAAGTATAGAATAATTTCAGTACACGACTAACACTCAAATTGAAATTTCTTTTCTCTAGTACTTTGGTATCAGTGATTATTGAAATAATCCTTTAAGAAATTTTTATTTTCACACAATTAGCTCATCTTTTGCTTTTGTTCATTTTTTCCTACTTTGGTTCATTGTAAAGGTAACCAATAATATCTGTCTCCTGAATTAAAATAAAATCTTTACAAATAATTAAGAACTTTAGAAATCATATAAATATGATATGTCTAACAAACATAATCATTTTAATATCAAAAAGCTCTCTCTAGAAATAGTCCAGAAGAGAAAATCCACTCTTTGGCAGATGAAATAGCAGTTAGAAAAGGGCTAGAAACAGAAGAACAGGGCAGGGTGGTAAAGGTACCCCTTCTCGCAGTGACCAAAGCCTGAACTGAATAAAGGAGTGAGGTGCTGGCCTGCTTAATTAACAGATGAGGCTGCAACAGAGCAGACATTTTTCAATGACTAAAAACCACATGTTTATTGTCAAACCCCTTTCCTTTTTGGTGGGGAATGGGAGGTAGTATGGTCCATGGAGTTATTATTCATCTGGGCTTCAGCTTTTAGAATCAAGTTTAACCTTCTTCTCTCCCTTCCCTTTCCCTCTCTTGTAAGTTAGCCATCTAGGCCCATGAATTTTTCCAGGTGGTTTGACTTCTCATGGTTGTCCTAAAGTAGTCCTGGAAGTGGTCTCTCAGGCATGCAGGTGAGGCTGCAAAGAGCAGGCAAACAATCAACCTTTTCCCCCACAGCAGTTTTCATATCTATCAAGAAATGAGCTAGAGAATTGACAGTCTGCTTTTTCATGACTACTATTTTGAATATAATAGATAACTTAGAAAAATGTATCTCACTTGAAAAGTTAGTCTGTTTTTTACAATATGTTAATGAAATAATAATTTGAATATTGCAGCACCGGCTATATAAGTTGGGAAAAAATAAAGAATTTTACTATCTGCCATAAAAGTAGTAGCCACCTTTATTTTATACAATTT